TGTATTGAGGAATAATCCTTTAATACCTACTGTCTTTAGATTTTTATCATGAAAGTATGTTGAATTTTGTTGAAGGCTTTTTCTGCCTCAATGAGAGGATCATGTTATTTTTATCTTGAATTCTGTTTATGTGGTAAACATTTATTGATCTGCATATGTTGAACCACCCTTACATTACATTGTTGGAATAAAAGTAACTTGATCATGGTGTATGACCTGTTAAATATATTAGTTTGGGGGCTGGGGATTTAGCTCAGCGGCAAAGCGCCTGCCTGGCAAGCGCAAGGTCGTGAGTTCGGTTCCCGGTACCGGAGAAAAACCAAAAAAAAAAAAAAAAAAAAAAAAATATATATATATATATATATATATATTAGTTTGATTTGTATTTTATTAGAGATTTTTCAAATATGTCCTCATCTAGGATATTTGATCTACCGTTCTGTTGTTGCTATTGTGTCCTTTTCCAGTTTTGGTATCAGGAAGATGGCCTCATAGAATGTGTTTAGAAGTCTTTCTTCCCATTGTATTGCATGAAATAGTTTAAGAAACATTGGTGTTAATTCTTTAAAGGTTAGGTGGAATTCAGACATGAACTCATTTGGTCCTGGGCTTTTCTTTGTTAGAAAACATTTTATTACTACTTCAACCTCTCATTACTTGTAATTTATCTCTGAAAGATATTAACATCCCATTTTACAGGTGATGTAATTGAGGCTCAGAGAGGCTACACAAGTTAACTTGCTCCAATTTTCCTTATTTTCTGGGCCAAGCTTTTTCACAGTACATGATTGTATGTGTGTTTGCACCACTTTACCTTTTCCACTTTCCTCTCAGCTATGCCGATTTCTTCCCACCCACCCTGCACCAACACTACTCTGACAAAACTCAGTAGTTAAGTTCACGCTGTGTCTACCAGTCGGTCACCTTTAGTGCTTTCTTCTGTATTTGACGTTGCTGACTATCCTACCATTCTTGCTTGACATTTTTACCTTCTGTTCGGATTTTCCTCCTTTTAAAATGATTCTTCTTGAAGTTCTAGATCCTGCCTCCATTTCTGCTTGATTATGGACTTTCCAGAATTCTTTGATCTCCATCTTCCAGCCTGAACTTTGCCTCATCTTCAGATCAGATCCTAGCAGTCCATACTGGACACATCCATTTGAATGAGCCACAGGCTCCTCTTACTCAACAAATACTAGACTGAATCTACTATTCCACCCCTCTTCCTATTTCTCAGGTGCAGTGGGTTGCTGTTCCCTCAGAACTTCACTTGCTGAAAGCTCGAGCCCAGTGTGAGGATGTATGGAGGTGGGGCTGCTGGGAAGTAATGAAGTAACCAGGATGAACCCTCTTGACTGACTGAGGGCCCTTATTAGAAGAGACTCCACAGAGAAAGCTAGTTTCCTTACTGCCATGTGAGGATACAATGAGCATTTAGGCCTCACAAGAACCCAACCATACACTGGCTCCCTGATTTTAAACTTTGAGCTTCCAGCATTTTGAGAACAAAAATGATCTGCGATTGAGAAGCCAACTGTTCTATGGTCCCATGGTACAGCTGTCCAAAAGGACTAAGGAGCCAGGCTCCTGTCTTGTGTCAGGGAATGATAAACCTATTCATCCATTGGATTGAAATTCAAGCTAGAGTCCAAGGAAACATTAGACTCTTCCTTTTCTATCAATCGCAACAACCAATAATCACCAAATCCAACAAGTTTATCTCTTAAACATGTTTCTACCCTTTCCCAGAAGAGGCTGTGTACCATGTGGTGGTGAAAACCCTGAGGCTCTGTGGCCTGGCTCTGTCCTCATTCACCTCACCTCCTGTCATTTTCTGCCTCAGAGCTTGCATAGGAGTGACGCACCCTCCTTCGTGGTCCTGTCATTTCCTGTGCCTCTACACAGGTGATGCTCCTCCGCCCTAACTGCCCTTTTATTTTCCTCTCCTGCCAGACTTCAGGCTTTCCTCCTTGCATCCTTACCATTCCGAGCAGTGCTTAGCACAGAAGTGCTCAATGAGTGATTTTTCACTAAATGTACGTTTAATAAAAACAAGTACTTTAATCCAGATATTTTCAACTCCTGGTTTGTAGCCCTTAGAAGAAATTGAACTTAGAAGCTTGATAATGTTCTGTCAGCACAGGTAGGCCAGTGCAAAGCCTCAGTGACTCCGTATATTCAGCCTAGATGTGATTGGAACAAATGCAGGGGCAGGACTACAAACCACAGAAAAACAGATTTTAATAAAAAGATAAAGGATCACAACTGAATGTGACTGCTTTATGCCCACCTACAGATGGTCCTGGATTCAGGACAGTTTAATTTGGGATTTTTCAGCTTTATGATGTTGCAAAAGCTATATGCACTCAGTAGGAACTGCACTTTGAGCTTCGAATCTAGACCTCTGCTTGGGTGAGTGACATGCTGTACCGTAATCTCTGGTGATGCTGGGTGGTCACCCATGTGATCTCAAGGGAGTAACCAACACCATCCGTCCTGTGTGGTTGAGCCATGGTGGTGATTGGTGAGGTGGCCTAAGCACAGCTTTGCCTTATGTTGGCTATATAGTCCCTTAAGGGCTGAGGAACACCTATGCTCTCATGCTTCCCTGATATCATCTTAGTGCATGCGATCTTCAGCCTCATTCTTGTTATTTGTGCCATGTTCTGTAAAGCCTTCATAACCACTGAACTAGCAAATTCTGAACTCTGGATCCTAGGGAAAATAGGTACCTGTGAGCCTGGTTATAATTTGTGGGAAGGGTGTGCTGGGAATTTAACCTAGGGCTTTGTGAATGCTAAGCATGAGTAAGAACACGTAGTATTTTTCTATTTGCCTTATTTTGCCTAGCATAATGTTCTTCAATTCCATCTATGCTGTTGTTGCATGTGCCAAACATGTTTTCCATTTTTTAATGCTAAATAGTATTACATTGTATATATGTACTACATTTTCTTTTTCTATTCATATGTTGATAGATACTCAGTTTGATTCCATTTCTTGGCTGTTGTGAATAGTGCTGCAGGGAACATGAAAATGTAGATGTCTGTGTACAGTACTGATTTAAAATCTCTTGACTACTCATAAGTGGGTTTGGTGGATGATGTAGTAGATGATATAGTAGTTCTCTTTTTAATTTTCTGAGGGCCCTTCATACTGTTTACCATAATGGCTATACTAATTTCATTCCCACTAACAGTGTGCAAGGGTTCCCTTCAGAACAAATGAAATGGAAAGAAAATCCTGGCAAGGAGAATGTGGAGAACTTATAACCTTCATACACTGCTAGTAAGGCAAAATGGAAAATGGTCTGGCAGTTCCTCTAAAAGTTAATCACGGGGCTGGGGATTTAGCTCAGCGGCAAAGCGCCTGCCTGGCAAGCACAAGGTCGTGAGTTCGGTTCCCGGTACCGGAGAAAAACCAAAACCAAAAAAAAAAAAAAAAAAGTTAGTCACAGAATCCCATGTAGTCCAGTATTTCTATTTCTAGGACATACCAAAAGTAATGAACACATGTATTCAAACAAAATTTACACAGTAGTCCTGGAAGGAATATTAATAATAGCCAAAAGTTGCGAACAACCCTAATGGATGAATAAATAAACAAATGTATCTAAATATTGGGATATTATTCAGCGATAAAAGGGAATTAATTACTTGATATATGCCAAGACATGGCTGAACTTCAAAAGTATTATACTATAACCATTATACTAAGTGAAAGAAGCTAGACACAAAAGGGCACATATTGTATAATTCCATTTCCATGAAATATCTAGAATGGGTAAAGCCATAGTGACAGAAAGTGGATTAATACTTGCCAAGGTCTGGGGAGGGAAAATGGATAGGGACTGCTTAATGGATATGGAGCTTTCTTTTGGGAAAATGAAAGTGTCTTAGAGATAGTTAGAGGTAGTTCTTGCATAATATGGTACCTGTACAAATATCACTGAATAGCTCACTTTAATGTAGCTAATTTTTTTATGTGAATTTTGCCTCTATAAAAAGTCAGCATTGAGGAGTGAGGTGAGATTCAGAGATGTGTACTTCATAGTTATGTGATAATGAAAAATATTGTTATTTTACAAAGGCATACAACAAGAAACAGAGCCAGAAATTGGGTAAAAGGTATGATGTAAACACCACGGTCCTTTTAAAATAGGTTTCAGTTTTGTGCAAAATATCACATATCATTGTGTCCCTGTGGACAAAATTCAGGGGAATAAATGTAACTGTATTTCAATGTCCTGTTTAGTTCATTGTTATATAAAAGTGTCCCACACCATTTTGAGTACTGGAGCGGATGCTGGCACAGGTGCAGCATGTGCACCCCGCAGCAGCTCTCACCGCACAGTAGTTGCTATGGCTAGTGCTTGAGGGCAAAGAACCCGTTTTTCTTTCTGCATGAGGCCTGGGGTAGGGCTGGCCACAAGCAGCACAGGCCACAGAGGAAGAAGAGGGAGTTTTGGTCTTGGTGGCTTTTGCAACTGTGAAGTGTCTGTCTCTCAGTGCTCCAGTTTGGATCTGCAATGTTCCCCTAAAGCCTCATATTGGTGCTGTTAGAAAATGTAAATCCTGTAAAAGGTGAAGCCAGGGCAAAGGCTTAGTTCAGTGGAGACATGCCCGGAAGGGGCCTGTGGGGCCCTGTCTCTCTTCCTGGCTGCCATGAAGTAAATGGGTCTCTTCTCCCATGTACTCCTACCTTGGTATAATTTGCCATCATAGCTTCCAAGCAGTGAGGCACTCGGCCTTGGAATGAAACCTCCAAAGCTATGAACCAAAATAATCTTTTCCCTTTTATGAGTTGCTTTGCCTCAGATATTTGTCACAGTGTTGGAAATCTGGCTAATATGTGAAGACTTACATGGGGTAGGGCTCTGTCAGCGTGCTGTGATCCAGGAGCAAAGGGTGACAAGTTCCAGTTCAGGACAGAACCAGGAAACAGCAGGCAGCTGTAGAGGGATACAGGGCCACCAAGGGTGCTGGCCTGTGATGCCTTACCTGCACTCCCTCCCTATGTGCTATCTCCAGGCACATCTCCCGGATCTGCACCTGCTTTTCTAGCTTCTTTCTTTGCATCTTCTCCAGCTGCAGGTCATCCAAACTGACATGGGGATGTTGAGAGAACCTCCTGGGTTGCAAAGGGGCCTCTCTGGGGACATCCTTTGCAGAGACGGAGGGGAAGGTCCGTGTCACCCTCTCAGGGTTGGAAGGTGGCTTCTGAGCTGGCTGGGAGCAACTGGGCTTCTCACCCGGCTGTTCTTTCCAGGGCACATGGTTCTGGAGGGCAGAGGAAATATATGTAATCAGAACAAGGGCACAAAACTAGGTGTGCTGTTCTCTGCCTGGTTGGTATTAGATACAACAGTGTTTCATTATCTCACAAGTACAAATCAAAACAATACTTCATTTACAATGACTTTGGAAAATGTAAAGATTAGGAACAAAAATATCTTGTTTTGTTAAAATGCCTACATTCAATGCTCTTTTAAACAAGGTCTTCTACTCTGACCAAAGCTTTATATCTTGAAAGTAATTATTGAACTTGGCGTGCTCATTAAAATATTTTTAACCACTTGCCAGTCCAATTATTTAAATACAGGATAACCAAAAATTGCATATTTTTCATTACTTTTTATAAGATAATATAAGATGAAATATAAAAATGACAATTTTATCAAATTTATTTGATTAACTGGTTGAAATGACAGCTGCCCAAGTGATGCTCGGAACAGTAGTTAAACATTCTGCCTGAGTGATGGTCAGAGTAAATGGTTGAGGGGTTAAAGGCCAAGAACAATTGTGGACAAAGCTCTTGCTCTTTCAGAACAGAATTTAAGCTGGAGCACACTTCAGGCTCTTACTACTTAGTCTTCATCTGACACTGATATTGACCAAGTGTACACACACACACCTTGCCTAGTGTAAACACTATCTCAGTTTGTGGTTGTGCATTGAGGGATCTTACCCATTTCAAAATAAAATTTGTTCAGGATGGCAGAATAGTCAGGCTTTGTGTTGATCTCCATCATCTCTGTTCCCAGGGCCACTGGGAGAAGAGACCTTTCTCCTCCCATGTGTTGCTCAATGCTAACCACCTTCCCCAGGAAACACATCTTTCACATCAGTGCCCTCTAAAAATGCTGCCTAAGCTCTTAGTGCATATTATTTGGTGTAAACTGAGGTGTGATTTCTTTTAAACACTTGCAGAGCCTTTCTAGGAAAAGGACACATAAGGATAAAGATAGATGTATGTATATGCAGAAAGAAAGCAAGGGAGGAAGATGCGGGGAGGACTAAGGGGAGAGGATGGATAATTGTTATATAATGGCTTTTGGCTACATCTGGGGAATTGGGACCCTTTCCAAGCTCTTTATGTGACTAAAACATGCAGCTAAGGCTGAGAACCACGGATCTGATGTTTGTTTAGCTCCCACATACTGCTTTACATTTAGAAAGCACTTTCTCTTGGTTCTCTCTCCCTAACTCCCCTGAAGGCTACAAATAGCTGGTAATAGAAACTCAGAGAGCCATGTGATTTGTCTGAGGGCACACAGCTCCAGCGGTTGTTAGTCTTCTGACAGCGGTTGTTAGTCTTCTCTAGAGTCTATGTACATTTACTGGTCTACCTGATACCCATTCCTGATGTGTTATAGGTGGATCCACATCCCCATAACTAGATAGGGACCGGAGCTCAGATCCTTTTGTAATCCCCAAAGTCCTCTAATGGGAGTGAGTATGAATTGGGCATATCTTTATGCACAGATCCCTATTGTGCATTTAAGTACACTTGATAAGAAACTTGGGTCCTCCTAAGGCCATTCAGAGAGTAAGGCACATAAAGCCACTTGCAAAGGCCAGTTACCGTCATTCTGAGGCAGCCACAAAGTCTGATTCACCATCACCATGGGCGAGCTTCTTTTCAAACTAGAAGAAAACTTCCAGCTTAGACTTTTCCAATGCACTGCCCTCTAACCTTCTGCGAGCCACACCTGAGTTTTAGACAGAGTTCGTTATCCTCTATAAAAAGCCTCTTAGAAGCTGAGCACTGTCACACTTTAGTTTATGGGTCTTCAGAGAGAATGCTGGCTAGAGATGCTGTAAAACTTGGCCTTTTCTTTCCCCCCAAACTTAATGGAAAGAGTCAACTCCTCTCCTGTCCTTTACCCATCATGACAGTCTGTAATGACCACCAAATTGCTGTGATCTCACAGGGGAAAAATCTTTGTTCCAAGGCCATTAATTATAGGAGGGATTTTCAAAGTGTTGCTCCCAGACCAGGAGCATTGCTCAGTGTGCTGGGAAACCCCTAAAATACCCCCAGTGGTCTCACCTCCTGGTAGGAAGGGCCTTGTCTGATCCCCCCTCCTAAGTGTGGACTGGATTTAATGACTTCATTCTAATAAGTAAAATACAGTGAAATTAATGGGCTGTCACAAGGTTAGGTTCCAGGAAGACACTAGCATCCATCTGGGTGGCCTCTGATGGGCCTCTTACTCTGGAGGAAGCCATCTGACATACTGTGAGCAGGAGAGGTCACACAGTGAGGAGCTGGTGTCTCTAGCCAACATCCAGCAGGAGACAGAGCTGACAAACAGGCAGCACAAGTGTGAGCAAAGAAGCAGGACTCGCCCAGTCAAGAACGGACAGGACAGCAACCTCATCGGACCCCTGAGTTCACAGGCACCAGGTAGAACCCAACGAGCAGCAACAGGTGATATGTACTCCTGGGAACCAGTTAGAAGTGAAAAATTTCTAGTCCTGCCAAGACCTGCTATAATCTCTTTGAAATGCTTCCAGGGGATGTCGGGGCACAGCAGATAAGGGTGAGCAGCCCTGTCGTTCTGGTGATCCTCATGTCTGGTGGTCCTTGTGTCCTGGGATAGGGAGCAACCGGGTCCCCGCCACTTTTGGGTGGGACAAGGTGAATGGAAAGGTCAGCAGTTAAGAGCCTTCTGCTCGTTTCTGTGTTCCCCAAAGGGCAAAATTAAGAAATACTGGGCTATTAGCAAAGGATAAATTTCAACAAAATCTGATATAAATTAAGTAGATGCAAGAGAGGTCAGTATTGATGTAGAACACAGGAAACAAAGGAACATAGATGTGGAACCATGGAGGACAGAGACAGGTCCTGAACAGCATGAGGAGCTCGAGATTATCTCTTTGTAGAAGTCATCCCTCAGTCAATGCCCCTTGTCCAGTCAGCAATGTGATTGTGCCCCTCTGCCCACTTCCCCGCTGCTGCCTTTCAGCTCTTAGCTGAAGCCAAACACCCAAGATATTCTCACAGGTTCAGATTCTGGGGATGACAAACTTAATGATGAAAGCAGTACAGAGATTTTGGATGAAAACAGGCATAACAAGAAAATCTGCATAGTGACCTCTGGGCCACTCAGCACTGTGCTTCATTTCCAGAATAAACCAGATTCTCCTAAATGTGCAACTAGAAGACACTAGTCAGCAGAAACTGATCCCCAAACATGATTTATAAAATAAGCAACTTCTCATTGACCATATGATAAAGCCCACTAGTTGATGAAGTCTAAACATACTCACAGAACATCTAAACAGATATTAAGTGCCTCAGTCTTACTATAAAATACATTCATTCATTCATTCATGTAAATTGCCATTTATTAAGTACTTTCAACATACTAGACAGACCAAGAAAACAAATAGGAAAAGAAAAGAAAGTGGCAGAGAATGTAAGAGATAGGAAATATCAAAAGAATTCAAAGTGATAACTTCAAAAGAGGAAAAGGAAGATACTGAAATCATTAAATGGAAGCAGGATGCTATGAAAAAACCACCTATGAAAGGGGACTTTCACTTTCAGTTCTGGACAAGATAGATGAACTTCCTGTGTGTGTGTGTGTGTGTGTGTGTGTGTGTGTGTACATGCATGCTGAGGATTGAACCCCGGGCTTTAAGCATGCTAAGCAAGTGTGTATCACTAAGCTCTATCCCAAGCTATATGGTTGTATGCAAGCCCTTCTAGCACCAGAAAAATAAATAAGTGAACACACAGTCAATTAGCATTTTAAGAGGATTCAGCCCCTTAGACATCAGGGAAATGGGAATTAACATTACAGTGAGATGCCTAGCAGAAGGGCTGAAATTAAAGAGTCAATGTCAATGAAATGGTAATGGTAATGAGAATATGAAGCAAAGGAAGCTTGGAACAAAAAAGCGTGAACTGGTACAATCACCTTGGAAAAATAATTTGACAAGATCTAGTAAAGCTGCAGGTATGCACCCCCTGAGGACCAGTAATTCGGCTCCTAGAATGTACCTGACTTCAACATTCATGGCAACACTGTTCATGGTTGGCCCAGGATGAAGACACCCCAACTGTGTCAACATCAGGCTGAGGAATTCAGCACTGTGTTATGGTGAATCAAAGCAACTGTATGTGATGATGGAAATGAAAGGCTTTATATGCACAGCATAGAATGAGTCGACATAATTAGAACAAGAGGAGGCAGACAGAAAATCAAATGTGTAAGGTTTTTTTTATTATTTTAAAGAGTAAAAGAAGGATTACATAGTAATAGGAGGGCTTACCAAATTACAGACAAAGTAGTAGGAAATTATCAATGGTTGTTGTTTTACATAGTGTTATCTACAAGATAGTTTCTCAGGAAAACAAATAGACAATAGTGAGTTACAGACAAAAGTGGTAGGAGATTATCAATAGTTGTTGTACTATACTTTGGTATCTTCAAAGTGGTTTCTGAAGAAAATAAATAGAGCTATACATGAGTGACCAGTTGAATAATCATTGGCTATTCTCAATGGTTGTTGTAGGAAACACATAATAATCATACATCCATTTACAAAATAGCATAGGAACAATGAAAACATTACAGAGTTATGGACAGATTAGTAGGAAAATATCAATGGCTGCTGTAATACATGGTGGTATCTTCAAAGTGCTTTCACAGGAAGACAGAGATATGCAAGAAAGATCTAACAAGTAGTTACAGCCTAAGGGTTGTGAAAAATAGCCTATTACCTCTTCACCAGTAACTCCTTTCCCTGAGGTGTGACGGCTGGAAGGAAGGCCAGGATTGAAAAGAAGGACTGAGAGACTTGCACCTGTGTCTAGCAACAGGCTGTTTTCTTTTTCCTCTATAGTCATGATTACCTGGGGCTCCTCCATGGAGATGACAGTCTGACCAGAGGGAGAAGGCAGAGTATGCTCCGGGCCCCCTCATTCCTGTTGGACTAACTGGTAGGATGGGTCTGAGCTCTGGGGCCTCCACTTCAGAGGGCAGACT